AGTTTAAGTATTTGCTATTGACTGTTCAAATGCGGAGTTTGTGTGTGTGTGTGTGTGTGTGTGCGCGCGCGCGCGTGTATGTATGTGTGTGTGTGTATTAGAGAAATGAGAGAAAGACAGAAAACGAGTCAGTTGGATGCCGAAGAGTCTCTTTTTGAGAGTTTGATGACATTTGCATTCGGGAAAAGATGAACTCCTGGCAGGTAGTAACGTGTTTAATTTGGCTTCTTTAGAATATTTATATTATAGCTAAACTCATGCATGGTTTAAAAAAGTATTACTATATGCTATCAGGCCAGAGAACAGTCTGTATATAAGAACATATTATTTGCATAGCTGCATCCTCTGTTTAAAACTGTGAATTGTACTCGTGAATGCAATCTTTTGACTCTGCGAACGCAGAACCTTTCTACTCTCTATTTTTTTCTACAAAAAAAAAGATGACAAAAGATGAAAAGCTTTGCTTCTCTGATGTTATGACTGTTTTTGCTTGTTTCCAGGTCTTTGCTGGTCATTACCTCTGAGCTATGGGCTACATTCAGGTCGTTAGTTTCTGTTTGCTAATGTACGTGTCCCCTAGACAGACTCCACAAGCCTAAAGCCAACGTTTTATTCCCTTTCGCAATTCTAGACGTCAGTGGCTCAGGATTCTAGAATTGGATAAAGTCAAACGGGAGAGAATTAGAGGTTAAAATACAAAAAAATCAATTGGTTCATTCCCGGCGGTGGAGCGCAAAACGTCCCCTTTCCAAATGTTGTGTGTGTGCGTGTTCTCATTCGTCCACATTACAGACACGCAGCCCTGCATATGTTTTCAGTGTTACAGTTATGTTTGATTGTCACTTTTTAGAATCTCGTGGGATGTATTTTAATTGAATAGAATGTACTCATTGAATGGCTTGTTAATTGTAAATTTCATTGGAACAAACACATACACACTGCCCACACACACAGACAATACTTTTACGTCCGTGGTTGATGCTTTCTTACCAAAGCTACTCTCAAAATCACATCTGCCCATTGCAGTTACCTGTTACACTTCACTGTGTTTCATCTCATGAGGTGTAGGTGTGTGTGTTTGTGAGTGAGTGTGTGTTATCCAGGCCATCAGGGTTTCACTGTGGTTTTAAGGGCAAGTCCCACCCCCCTCTCCCCCACACGGCTATGCTGTATAAGGTGTAAGTTGCACTGCAACATTGAGACGGAACATATTGCTCTTTTTTCAAGGTTTTCTTTCAAAAATTCCCCTTCTGTATATTAAAACACCAGGAAGAGCCTGATATTTATTCACAGTATTATTCAAAGCTAACCCTCTTTGCTTTCAGAAATATAAATACATATATAAATAAATATATATAATACAGATTGTAAAATGTTAAACTAATAAACTGAGTTCTCTGCACTCTGCATTTGTGTTTTGTGATGCTTTCCAACTGTCTCATCTTGTGTGATGGTTCCAGTGTCCAGTGAAATCTCAGGCTGAAATGCAACTGCGTGTGTATGCTTGGTTTACCAAAGATTTCATGGGGCTTGATGGCTTTCTTATTAAAAGCAAGAACTTTATAGGGGACAGTCGCGTCCTAATGGTTAGAGAGTCAGACTTGTAACCCAAAGGTTGTGGGTTCGAGTCTCAGGTCCGGCAGGAATTGTCGGTGGGGGGAGTGAATAACCAGCGCTCTCTTCCTCCCTCAATACCACGAATGAGGTGAGACCTTTGAGCAAAGCACGAACCCCCAACTGTTCCCCGCAATATGCAATAATGAGCAATATGGCTGCCCACTGCTCCGGGTGTGTGTTCACGGTGTGTGTGTTCACGTGTGTGTTCACTGCTGTGTGTTTGCACTTGGATGGGTTAAATGCAGAGCACAAATTCCAAGTATGGGTCACCATACTTGGCCACACTTCACTTCACCAACATCATTAACCTGGAATAGGAGACAGAGCCAGCGGCGTAGCAAGTCAGCCCTGGACCCATATGGATCATTCCATGTCAACTAAATTTTTTGATTTTGTTCATATTTTTTTTTGAAGAAAGATAAACATGCATAGTGATGAAAGCCAAAATATTAAATGCTATGGATGTATATTTATTGAGTAATCCACTATTTTGTAGAGGGGGGTCAAAATGGCAATTTTCACCTGAGATTTGGAGCCAAATTATAGGAGGTTAAAAAATTACCATAGGGTGTATTCACACCAGGAAACTCCACTAGTTCACTTGCTTTGGTCCGGACCAAATACAATGTTGATTTTTTATTTTTATTTGGTGTGGTTCGCTTTCACACTGGTTCACACATTGGTTCATCCATTCAGCTGTACCAGAGTTCGTTTGGAACCGGACCGAGACCACCTCTTCAGCTGGGTCCACACCCGAGTGCAATTACTGTATTCACACCTGCCCAAAAGATCTGCACCAAGAGGGAAACAAACTTGAGTTTGATTCAATCGAACCAAACAAAACAGGTGTGAATACACCCATAGAAAGCTGGCAGCATCATTATT